TTTTCATTTAACCAGCGCTAAGATTTAACTGGTGTTAAGAACATTACTGCTAGACCCCGAAGCCGCCTGAAGATGTTTATGTCAGTGTTGTCCTGAAACTTTCATTGAATTAAATTATAACTACTTCGAACCCTTAATTGTCCTTTCTACTTCTCCTTTCCGATCATCACAGCCAAATACACAACAGTGTGATAAATATACTTTGCATTGAAGCTTGAGCTTAATTAACTCACAACTTCCTTGAACTTCCTTCAAAGAGATCATTTCTGCATTTTTGAGGCATGAGTATCTCTCCCCGGATGGATGCTCTATTCCACTGGGAGTGCAGTACAAACTGATTTTTATTGATATTTGCCATGTTAATTTCCCTCTATTTATGGATGTTGAGCCTAAACATTGACTGTTGGAGCTGCCTAGTGAGCTTCTTTGGTTGAAACTAGGGCAGTGCCAAGATGCGATGCTGATAGCATGTCATGTGTAAAATAGTCTGCAATTTTTCTGCACATTGCAATACTGTATATGAGTAATATAAAAACAAAAAACTACTAAATGTCCATCTAACCTATGACTTCTTGTTGTTGTCCTAAGGATAAGATGCTCTACAACAGATGAAAACAACAAAAAAAGATGAATAATTTTGTTCTCTCAGCCCCATCTTGGGGATTGTTGCTGCTTGTTCTCTACATGTGACTGTCCATGGCAAAACCAGGAACACGTCTAACCAATACTGTTTTGGGGTATTTACAGATCCTTAAATACTGGAGGTGAAGCTTACTAATGGTGTCAGACTTGTGAACATCAAAAAAATAATTAAAGAAGATATGACCGTTTGAATGTTGACAATCTCTGTGGTACTCTAAGGAAAAATCAGCCCTTGAAAAAAATATCCTTGAAGCTAACTGGATGATAAGAAGCTATACACAGCAGTACAAAGGCTTCATGTCAACAAACTGCACTATTTTATATGTAATTTACAGCACTGTATATAATATTTGTGTTACATCTATGCATTGATATCTTTCAAATATCAAAGAAAAAAAGAATGACAACACCAAGTTTAACACGACCACACACAAAAACTAACTGCAAAACTTAAAACCTTGACATTTACAAAACTGGTAAATGTCATCTGCTTAAATATTTTTTTACCTCTGAGATTGTTGCAACTTGTCTGCAAGTTGCAACATGACTGAAACTAAAAGGAACATTTTGGTTATCTTGTTAAATGTTTTCACTTAATCGATAAGAAAGAAAAAATGCTTAAAGGTATCAGTTTGGGTGTATTTCAACAATGTATTTTCCTAGCTGTATTAAATACAGACAATTTTAATCCAATAATTAATTGACAATTACTCAGAAGTTCATTTTTTGTTTAAATCCATAAAGTAACCATCAATTGTTATTTATAGAGGGCTATATTCAAAAATTGATTCTAATGCTGTGATAAGAACCAAGCGCTGGAAGCAGCAAAAAAGTTTCTGCTGCTTCATTTTTGTTGCATGTAAACATTATGGTGAAGCGCATCAATAGCAGCTTTGATGCTCCTGAAGCGCATCCAGTAAAGTGTGTCCAGATATGTCTGATGCTTCTGTTGCTCCTGTGCTCAATGGCAGAGAGCGGCTTTGCTATGTTTACTGTTATAAGTGGGTAAAAAGTAGTTTTAATATGTTTTTAAGGGAGAAAGTCCACCTTAAAACATCATCTGTGCAGTCAGTTCATCAAGATTACAATCCTGCCTTCAAGTATTATTTAGCTCTCGGAGCTGCTCAGACCGCTGTACACCGGTGTGCGCTCTCATTGGAAATCCCGCTCAACGGCAGCCTCTGGCCCGATCACCTGTTCGCGGTTTTCCACTACTGTTCACAGCGGCTGGAAGGCATTTTTCATCCAAACTTCCGGCACCAGAATAATAAAATCAAACACATTTTGCCGGCAGGTGTCGACATTTTAACCCTGTAATGCCAAATGTATCATATTTAATACACACAGTTTCTGAAATGTTTTTGCGTCTGACACCTTTTGCATAAGTTAATGGTAAAAACTTTGCTCAAAATCCTATTGTACACAATCAGATATACCTGATAACAGAGGACAGAAGGCTACACAAAAAATAATCTTGACTTATCGCATAGTAATAAATTATTAATATCAAAAATTTATTTCTGTTTTTTCTTTTTACATATTTTGTTAAAAGGCCAAATAAGGACTTCAAACCAAAAAAAAGTAATTTTCTGTTTTGTTTTATTCTTGGATCGGGCTTTAAAGGGTTAACTTAATTTAGGTGTTAATAAACTATTTCAGTTAATCAACTATAAAAAAAAAAAAAAGCAACTATTTCAGGAGAGAGATCATAGCGATCTACATCAGCAGTGCTGTGTCTTTCCCTCTGCCAACTCCCAGATCAGCTTCTCTGATTGGTTGATGTGGTGCGTAGAGCTGCAAAAGTAAAATTTTTCCAAATCCAGCAGCTGCTGCTTTCACAGCACAAGCTGCGAATCAGATGCTCAGAAGCTCATGACTAGGGTGACCAAATGTGCTCTTTTTCTCGGACATGTCCTACTTTTCAGACCTGAAAAAATTTCCCGGGGTTATTTAAAAATCGTCCAGGATTTTGGTCGACTACACTGCAGCACGTACAGTAGTCGAAACACACCAGGCACTCCAACAGACCTGTCAGCTCCGGGGCCAGTCCAGGAACCGTGGTGGATGGGGGCAGGGAGCCGGCGGGGGATGGAGCCCAACCCGGTAACGGTGGCCTGGACACAGGGGGCCCCGTGCTTCCCCCTGCCTGGCTTAACGTTCCCCAGCCCCCCTGCTCTTGCTGAGGATGAGCGGCTCATGGCTCTCTGCTCAGGTCCGGTCCAGTCATGGCGGCCGAGCAGTCAACACTTTATACTGTAATTTACTAATGAAAAGATAAGAAACGAACTGAATAAAATACTGTTTTGTTTATTAAAAGGTTGGGACACCAAATTGCATTTTTGCTTAGGGCCCCTAAATGGCTAGGACTCCCCCTGGTCTTACTTTTTATCCGAAAATATATCACAGAGATGCTTTTGCAGTATGAGGTTCTCCTTGGATTTACTAACTCTAGCTACTCTGTTTACCTCTGTAGCAGAGGATTGTTCACAGTGCTGCTTTCATCATTTAATGTTAGGGGAATAGGTCTGATGTAAATGCACTTCAGGGTAAGGTTAGGGTTAGTAATATAGGGATAATTCTAGGGGTTATGTCAAATATAAAGGAAAGGCATAAATGCAGTAACTAAAATGAATGTAACTCAATGTTAGGTTCTAATATGGATAGAAAAACAAACGTGTGTGTGTGTTTGTGCCCAGCTGCAGGAAAAGCAACTCCCAATATCATCTGGCGCTAGAGCAAAATAGTGGCTGGTAAAATATCTAAGTGGTACTAAACTTTCTCCACCAGCCCATTTTTTTCCATTTGCCCATCTGCCACAAAAAAAAAGTGTAATAGCCAGGATTGTTCCTGCTGTTAAAATGCTTTATATGGAACCAGATATATGAATAACTAGAAACGGACACACATCAGGACACTTATGCTTGGCTTTTAATGGTACCACAGGGAGTTCATATAAGAAGAGTATACTTACCCATCCAATTATCCACTTCAGTGTGCTTATCCCCAAGAGTCTGCTGATGGAGATTATCCGTTATATTTTGGTTTTACAACACGCCATTTTACATTAGGCCAGTCAATATCATGCGGGGTGCCTTGTATGCACCAGTTACATAAAAAACAATGGTTAAAAAATCTAATATTAAGCTGAGTGACAATCTGACAATCTATGGCATTGGTACATTTTCGTCTGATATTTTTATTTTTTTTATCCATCGTGCCCCGAAATTGTCACAGCTCAGAAGAGACTGTATTCAACTATGTCAACCCAGGCATAGTCGGATAATTACAAACAGGCATTA